TTCTTACAACATCTTAAACAGATTGGTATGGAAACAATTCTGCTGAGGTGAATGGAAAGAAATGACACCGAAATAACTCATAAACAACCTTTTCCAGAGCTTTCTCGCTTTTCCGTTGCTGGGTTAGGGTCATTTTTATCTGAAAAAAAAATTCCATAAAAATTCGAAAAAAATCGTTGGTTTTGTCCAGTGAATTTAAGGTTGAGAACGGGTCACGCCTGAATGGTACTCCTACTCAGCGATTCATTCTATGTTGAGGCTACACCCAGAATCTGGTAATGTTAAAAAACAGCGTAAATACAGCGTAAATATTCCAACAACGTCCAACTACTCTCGATGAAGCACGCAAAGGATCATTATCACTTTTTTCTGAGGTGGTGTAGTGGCCTATGGCGGCTATCGTACACGCCTGGTCATGGGTTTGAATTCCGGTTCGACATCCCCTAGGCAAACCCTTCCTTTCATTCCTTCGGGGTTTGTTAATTGGAACCACATTCGTCTGAGAGAATCGAAACAGTGGCTTTTACCCCAAGTCATGGTATAGACAACATCCACATTCCATACGATATTACGATTCTGTATGGAAGACAAATGCCAGGGCGCATCCTTAATGTGGAATTGATCAACTGAAGACTTTATCCTTTATCTTGCCATTGCTGGACTTAAGCTCAATTCACTTCCTATGCCGTTCCACTTTGTAAAATAAGCCCTTCGAAACCACAAGATATGGGAAAATCCTTCACATTTCTGGGTTCCGTTGCATAAGAAAACAGACTAAGCTCGATTTTTGTCAGTGTGGAAAACAAGTATATGTGCATTTAATGAAATAGTGGTAACATGTTTGGAGGATTAGGGCCAGAGACAACATTCCCCCTCTACAACAAAAAATCCACCCCAAGTGATGATCCCAAATGACCGTGAAATTCGCTGAAAACAAGACATCTAAATGAAGTTTTCAATAGCGCTCCCGCTGAGGAAATTGTACGGGATATCCTCTATTAAATGGGGTAATGCAACAGACATCTAAATGAAGTTTTCAATAGCGCTCCCGCTGAGGAAATTGTACGGGATATCCTCTATTAAATGAGACGTCCAAATGAAGTTTTCAATAGCGCTCCCGCTGAGGAAATTGTACGGGATATCCTCTATTAAATGGGGTAATGCAACCTTCTGAAAAGCTTCGTAAACTTTATGTCGATCACTTTGCTGAGGTTCTTCCCAGTTCTAACAGTTTTTTGGAACGGGAGTGCGGTGGGAAGAGGCTGCTCAATGATGCTCACAGGAAAGGTTTACAGAGCAGTGGTGAGATTCACGATGCTCAACGGTAGCAAACTTAGTCAGTAGGCATGAATCTGAAGGGAAACATCACTCCGTGGAGAGGAGGATGTTAAGATGGGCTTAAAACTAAACGTGGTTCAACCACGTCAATTGCAGTAACAGTCGCCTCCTATTCAGATGAAGATGCGAGTGTAGCGATTGCTATAGTATGGGGACGGCCGCGAAGGAAGGAGATCAATTGGCTGGAGAAGCAATAATCTCGAAGTCCAAGGCAAGGGAAGCGACCACGAAGAGGTGCATAGAAAAAATGGAAGGGCGTGATTAAGATAGTCTTCTTCAGAGCGAAGGTAAGGCGAAGAAGATGCTACAGATTGGAGAAAGTGGCGAGAGCAAACAAGAGAAGCGGACCCTGTGACTGAAAGGGATCACCCTAGGAAGAGAAAAAGAAGGCAAAACAGGAAAGAAAAAGAAGTCAACGAAACTGACTTATGGCTCTTAGTATTGGTGGCTCCTTCACCTTCTTTCGTG